AAGGTGAACAGGAAGATGTAGACTTCACATCATGAATGCTTTCAAACAATTACCAGATCTCAATGTAACCTCTGTTATGCTGATACCATAATAAATGAATAAGAACTGCAGTAGATGCAACCTAGTGCATGTAGAACCATGGGTTTATGTGCCTATTCTAATATTTAGTCTCCTTCCCCCCCACCTTCCAATCAAGTTTTACATCTGGTCGTGATCTTACCTACTGTGACCTCACTTGTCAAGTGGCCAGGGATGCTGCTAATTGCTACATATGCAGACATCACTTCTGTTAAAAGTTAAGAGGATGCTCTTTCATGATCTCATCATGATTTAGTGAACCCAAACTGACTAAAATGAGCTAACAGAACTTTTGGAATATAGAAGAAAAGAAACACAAAGGCTGGTTATCCCATAACTAGTTCATTCGTTTCTCAAAAAGTAGTAAGCCTTCTCTCAACATCTATCTGATAGAAATGGCAATTTTGATCAACATGTGTAACACACTTATAAATGTTCTAAGTAGCTCATGGGATATGTATACAAAACAAAACAATCAACACCCTGAGCAGCATTCAACTGCAGCAGGTACCTGGGGGGAAGGAGGAGGTCAGAGGAAGGCAGGCACCTGCTAAGCTTCTTGTCTTTCATGTGACCTGGAACAGGTGCTGCTTTGGGCAGCAAAGAGTGCTGTAGTCTCTGGTACATGGTCAATTCACACTTAATCTTAGGCCATTTAGAAATTTACTTGGTGGTTTATCAGTTAGCAACAGTAATTTAATAACTAAATTGCTACTGTATAATTATATATTAACCTATGCAATTCCAAAACGAATGCGTTTGTTATCTTAATTTAAGGAATCACAGCCATGATGTCAAGAGGAAAAGAGTTAAAGTTGCACAGAATAACCATGACAAAGTCAACCAAGAGGAGACCAGATGTGTAGGGCATGAAAAGCATAAGCTATAACTTGAGCTGAGAAAATCAAGGGAGGGAAATTCTAAATGTAAAGTAAGTTTCTTAGTTAACAATTACTGATAAGTATCTACTGGTTCTTATATCAACTGTCAAGATTTCTTTTACCCACTGTTTATCTCAAAGAAATTGCTTTTCGTTAAGTTTTCCCAGAGGATTTATTTGGGCATCAAGTTTCTGTCTGTATTCAGTATCTCCAGCTTACCTCATCTTCATTCTTGTTCTACCTGGCGCTTTCTCCAAACCCCACCTGCAAGGATCATAAAAACAAACCTTTGATACTTTTAAGTTTGTAGCCCTTGTGGTTGCAGGGAAATATTTGTGAATGTTGAAGCATAGTTACCCAGCAATTTAAAACTGGAAAAGCAACTAAAAACTGTCCAATTTCTACTGCAGCTCAAGACTTCTACTCCAAACACTATTGGTGTATAGTTTTATGGATGTATCTTACATTTTTGATGAACACATGATTTATGGGGAAGCATTTATTTATCTATTCTGAATTTCAAAATAATTATCCTTTGGCTCTAAGAGAGAACTGTGTCACAGATGCAGTGCTGCAGCAACTCAAGAACTCCCAGGCTGAAAGGTGATGGAAAGGCAGAAAACTTAATTGAATGTGGAAAAGGGGAAAGAATGTGAGTTATAGATATAAAAATAAGTCTCAAAAGAAGAAAAATCAGGCAAAATCAATGCGTACGTAATGGTTACTGTATAATCAATGAAAATTATATAAGGGAATATTATATTATCAAATAATATTAAGATGTTATAATAATGAAATAAGCAAGAGAGTTAGGCACAGCGAGACAAAGAGAATAAATAGGATGCTTACCTGTGTTGTGGGCTCGCTCAGGAAACTCCAGTGGAGTGGATCTTCCAGAGAGAGAGAGATCCTTCCCCACTGGCAGTCAGCTCTTAAATGGGTCTAGGAGAGGTGCAGCCAGGCTCCATCCCTTCCTGCAGCACAGGTGAATTGCTTTCACCTGTGCTCCCAGGGCTGACTCATTGCACCTCAGGTGATCAATCAGAGGTTCAGGCCATGACTCAGCAGTTCCCATACAGTTACTAATTAGATAAAACTTGCATTTGAAAGGAGGTACTTTAAAATACTAATTTCAGAGGCCCTGGAAGACAGTATGGCCAAGATTTTCTCTACATTTATTGCTATTTTTTTTTCATACTTTCCACATTGTATCTTCTTTCTTACAAGTCACCTATCTACATTTTAGAAGCTTATTAATGAGTTACTTATACTAATTTGTGTAGAGAAAATCCACATGTTGGCTTCCAAGTTCATTTCCCATCTATAATATTGAATAAATCTGTAAATGTCTATTTCTAGAACTCCGTCAAAAGCAGGAGCTGGTTTCACCATCCTGGTTTGAGGCTGTTTAGATGTGTATTTTTCCATACTAAGTTACTACGTTTCATTTCATCCTATCAGAAAGCAGCAGGTATACATTCAGAAAACTTATCCTTGAGGAGCCAAGATGCATCCCTTAATACTGATGCTTTTTATTATGCTGAATGCTTTCCACAAGCAGTGGTGCCCTATTTATTACTTTGGAGATCAACTCCAAAGCAGCAGCTGTGAACTGACTTTCCAGACATGTATTTGTACAATGTCATCATAGTGCTGAATCTCAATGGCAGCACGCTAATGGCAATCTGCAAAGCTTCCTCAGAATGTGCATTTCTAACCCAAAAATGTATGAGGCATTGAGGATATAATTTGACTAATCTATGGAAAAGATGTTAAAAGATCAACTCCAATATTTTCAAGTATCTGAACAGCCCACGGGATCATAAGCTGATGGAGACAGAGGACAGCACTAGCCTGGGCTAACAGAGCCTCTAATGCAGTCAGCTCTACCTGCAGTGTAGTTTACTTCTCTTCTGAATGCTTCACTCCAACTGGCACAATTGCAATTGTGCTTCAAGAAAGGCCAGCAGCCCAGTATGCTGAAGTGATACATCTTTACATGCATTTTCAAGACCTGAAGTAGCATCATTCCTTATTTTTAACTCTGAATAACTTGACCTTCATTTCCTAAATTTCAGGTTGTCCTACCAAAAAGGAATAGAAAAGAGTCTATGAACTCCTTACCCCCCATGAAGTTTATAAAATCAATTAAAGGTCACTTCTCCCTCCACGATCTCACTTTGAATAGCTTAGATAACACAGTTCTGAGAATACTTCACACATCAGTTATTTTAGGCTTTTCACTGCTAACCTAAACAAAAGCTAAACAGATTCATGTCTGAAGTATTTAAAGATAAAAACCACTGTCAGATACTTTCCTCACTCCAACCATTTATTTATGCCAAATAAAACCCTGTTGTCATGGCTGCTTAATCAACTTATTAAAAATAATGTTTTGCTAGTTTCCAGCTACCAGATGTATGGACTCTGTTAAAGCCAATAACGGACACAAGTTTTGTAACACGAATCCAGATGAGCCCGTTTCACTTTAACAGCTCCACATTAAAAGTCACATCATCTATCTCTATAATCAATCCTTCCAAGCTCATCAGGACAGAATTTCTTTACGGATGGGAAGATCCAACTTGAAACTGAAGAAGAGTATCAGAATTTCAGAGGTAAAGGCCTGATTTACTCACTTAGAAGAAAGTCTTCCTGTGCAATACAGGAACATACTGCAACATGTTTGTATCTTTCTTACTACACAGTGAAGTTTTTCAATGCAGCTCTTCTTCAGCCAGTAACAAACTTGCTCTGGATGTCCTTCCTTGATTGCTCTGGAAGCACATGCCGAGCTCTGTTGACATCTCAAAGCCATTCTGATTTATTCTCTTTTAAATGACAGCTTCTAGTTCTATTAAACCTTAATATCTACAACTATCGGCTGTGCAACTCAGTCTCAGCTGCACACAGGTATTCCTGTTTTACTTTTGAGGATACAGCATATAGCTTTAAAGATCTGCCTGTAAGCAGATTTTGCCCCATTGAACTGAAACCACATCTGTCTGCGGAAAACAACTCTTGGGTTTTGGCCAATACAATTTGAAATAAGCAGCAGCAACAAAAAAATTGTAAGAAGTGTGGTAACCTATGTGAAAGGAGGAAAAAGTAGTACAGTACTGCTGTTCATCAACTTTCATAGCAACAACCTCCACCTGATTGGTCCTTCACTTCACATTTACATTAGGGAACACCTATGCCACACATTCCAGCCTTCCATGAAGAACATACTAACACATTTCTGTTTGCCACACTTAAGGCATTATTTTAAAAAAGAAACAAAACCCAACCTGTAGCAAGCAACAGTTAACAGTTTGTCCAGGTACGCTTAAGAGTAAGCTGGATCAGCTATCTGATATCCCCTGTGAAAGCACAGATAAGGTATGAATTAATTTGAACCAGCCATAACTGCAGCCATGAGCCTGTATTATAACATTAGCTAAAACTCATGTTCTGGATGCAGCCGAAGAATTTACAGAAACTATTAAACTGCTGAAATTACCTAATCATTGTTTGGCTTTACTCACTGCTCTGCACGAACCTGTAAACCCAAGCAGCAATCATGTAGAAATTTGTCTGCTGAAAGCTGTTTTGTCACATGCTGGCATTTTGTTCTGTGCCCAACCTCACCCCTACCAGCCCCAGGCTTCTTAAAGGAAAAAAAAAACCAGAAAAACAACCAACAATGGCTATTCAGGCATAAGGATATTTTTCTGTTAGAAGTTCCTATTTAACACTTTCCTTGAATATCCAACTCCAATACAAATGACTGCCAGGGCAGACTGCAACTTGACAGTTGTTTCTACTTTTAAATATCAGACTGACTCATTTAGCAAAGTCATGAGAAGTATGGCCATCTGAAAAATAAACTGTGCAACTGATAAACAGAACTGAAGCTTCCTGAATGATAACAGCAACTTAGCTCACTATTTCAGAAGGCAAACTTTGTGACCAAACTGTGTTTCATGTGCACTCTTTCCAATCTTCCTAAGTGTGTTATGTCAAATTGTCAGAATTGATACAAAGTAAGAGCCACTATCATTGATTAGTTATTGGTTTAATCTGGACTGTGACTTTACTAGTTTAAAATGGAGTACACTCTATTTACATTTAAAACACAACTCAAGTCACTCAAACATCAGACCAACTGAACACCCATCCCTTTTACCAGATTGACTGCACTGAGCAGTCAAGTAAATGAAATAAGTAGATTAAGAACAAGATGCTCTTTTTCCTGTTTTGTAGAAAGTTTCAATGAGCCACTGCAATGTCAAGAGCCTTTTTTATACCAGTTTCAAGAGGCCGGATATACACATACTAACTGCATGTGCAAGTCTTATGATGGGAATAATTTCAGCATTTAATGGCATTTTCTGATGTGTATAAGCATTTGAAAATATGGAATATAGTTGGTAGGCATAGTTCTTAACAGTTCACTCTTCACTAACAAAATTTAGGCTATTGGAAGTGACTTTACCTGATCTATCTAGTTACAGAAAAAAAAAAAGCCAAGCAGCAAAGCCTTCATGCACAAATACATATGACTGTAGCGATTAGATTGAAGACTGGGCAAGAATACAAGGCTTATTCATGCTACTCAACCTACAGCTGCCAGTTTAACCTCCTCCAGAAAACTGGTAAGTTAGTTGGCAGTCTGATTCTTTTTTGATCAAGAATTGTTTTACTTGCACCTCTTCTTATAATTATTTTTTTTTGTCTCACCTCTGTGGTACACTTAATTGAAAACTACCAGTTAGAACTGTGCTTTTGTGACTGGCAGCTCCTCTGTTCAGCTTTGCAGCACTTGAATGAATTGCATTGGGTATTCAAGGAAACTACGTCTGAACTCTAAGAAACAGTATTGTAGGGGAACACATCACCAAACTGATCAGCTGAAATGACTGTTTAGATGTGAAATAACATAAGATTGTATTTTTTGTTTGACTGCTGAACCTCACTATGTAGGATGCGAACACCTGTGGAGCATTTATCTGACAAGAAGCAAAGCTGAGTACGGCAGCTCCTTAAGCACCAACTATATTCCTCTACAAAGAAACGCAGAATAGCCTTTAATTTATGAAAACTATGACTGGAAGAATGCATTCAGAGGCCCTATGATGGAACTACCACCACTCTCAGAAGTTGCAACTACATCAGCAGAAGCAGTCACTTCCCCCACCTCAAGCTGCTTAAACATACCTTCATGTTTTCTCTTACTTGAGCTAGGAATCCACAAGTTACTGCTAGCTGCACCACTATATTGAAATACAGACAGGAAGTGGTAAGGGTAGCCAAAATACTTGCTAGCAATTCAGTTTAGACACCCCCTTCCTTACGCATGTGATCTGGATTAGCACAATAAATGCAGTGATACACTAGGTGACATATTGCATTTTACCATGTCCTCAATCAAGTTACTGACCCAACTTTAGAAATCCAATGAAAGAGTCTAATTTCAAAGTACACTGCTTTCAACTGGTCAGGAAGCCTGCCCTAGATAAGAGTGCCAGCAATGCAAGAACCACACCCATTTAACTAGTCACAGCCCTTTAACACACTTAAATGCAAACTACTCTTCCCTCAAAGTAAACTTGTTATCAAGATCTCAAATCTTTTTTTCTTTCGCAGCATTTTCATCTTCTACCATGTGAAAGACACAGTCTGAAGCACTTCCAGCACTAGCAAAAACAAGTCTCCATCAAGAAGAAAACTTTTGTTACTACAAACGTGCCACCTTTGAAAGTCAGCAAAAAACCACTGACGGAAAAAAAATTTCACTCGGAACAAAGTTTCAGAAAGTAAGGTATTTTGAGCATTTAATAGATGACATTTTAAGCTGACACTCTGTTGTTGTTTCTGATTTCATTACTTGAGAAACAGTGAATTAGTCAGTGCCACTTCATTAAAAATACGGGAACTTGAGAGAAAGTTTCAAGCATCAGGAAGAAAAAAGGCAGATTACTCACTGAATCACAAGGCAAGGTCATACTTATTCCTTCAGCAGGTATCTGTTAATTATCCTCCTGACACAGCAAATCAGTGTCTGCTCTGGTCTGTGATCTTATTGAGAATTCATGAACAAATTGAGACAGACCTTCTATAAAAAGAATCCTAAGATGTTCCCACAGTCTAAGTAAACTCCTACCGATGTTCTATTCAGAAAATACTTGTCAGTCAAAGCCCTTCTGCTGGGAAACATTCAAAAACAAGTCAAGTATCACAATGTTTATTGATAGATACAAGTATATAAAATCAGGGCATGAACATGTCTTGATAAGTTAAGTAGACTCAATTTCAATACTATAATAGAGGGACCAATTCAAATTTCTCACCGTGTCATGTTTCACACCCACAAAAACCTCTTCCAAAGGGCATTAAATCATCTGTCCAGCTGATCAGTTTTTGTGCAAGTAAACTGTTTCTTTTAAAAAAAAAGACTTGTGCACTTGCCCAGGCTCAAGGATATTAAAATCTAGCACATAAAGCCCATTACTAGAGGTAGAAATACAGGCAATATACTATTACGGCAACAACCATCGATTACAGTTAAGGATTCTCCGTAACAACCAAATGGATAATCAAATATTGCAACAACTCAAGTATTACACTGAGCAAAGTGCGTTTCTACAGTATTCAGTGTTGCTATTCAGTTTTCTAACTTAAAAACAGCCTATGATAACTGGCAGCAAAGAAGACCCTTGCAACAGACTGCTTCTGCTCGAGAACTTATGATGTAATTATTGCATGCTGCTAATACACTGTTATCTAAACATTAAAGATACTCTAAAATATTTTTATTGTAGACTATTAAGACATACTACAAAAACCTTTTGCAGAAGATATCCTATTGACATACATCTGCATTAAATATTGTGAAACATTACAGCGGAATGAATTTTCGCAGTGGTTAGGTCAAATGCAGTTACATCATAGCAACAGTATGTTTGCACAATTTAAGGCTTTGGCTGGTTCTTTAGTCAGCTTCTTCTTCAGATTCTTCTTCTTCAGCAGTTTCCAGCCAGGTCAGCCACTGGTTTACCTGCAGTTACATAAAACTGGTTTAAGGCAACAGGAATTATTTACCCACTATACACATCTAAAGAACACTGCAGTTTTTCCCAAACTCGTTTTAAGTGTCTCCACTGGACTCTACACTCATTTCATCTCCCCTCATTCCTCCCTAGTGGGTAACTCCTTATGTTTCTCCAAGTAATCCCTGCTCTGCTGGAGCATGACAAGAGACAGAGCCATTATCAAGTTTACCTGGAATAAAGCTTTGCCTTTTCCTGGAAACTCTTGAGTAATATCTTCTTTCCATGCCAAAAAGGCTTCTTCTTCAATGATCTCCATATCATAGAAATGAACAAAGAAGCGCAGTAACATGCCTATGAAAGGAAGCACACAATTAAAACTCTTAGCTTTATAAACTTCCGAACAGGTTATCTGACTGAAGAGATACAGTGAATCTGAAATTCATACACAAGCAAGTTGAGTTTTGGGTAAGATCATACACATACCTTTTGGAAAGTTACTGTTGTAGCAGTGCACCTGGAGTGCATATAAAGCACTCACTTGCAGATCAACATGGTCATGGAGGAACTTCTGCATTACTGGCTTGAAGGAAAGAAGCAGTTGTTTTTCCTGCTCTAGTTGCTCTTTTGATGGAGCAGATGAAGAATCTGATTCGTCACTAGGTGGGTTTACTTCACTGGAAATATACTGCAAGAAACTGGACCAAAGACAGAAAGGTTAGTTCTGTGAACTTCGAGTCATGAGATTTTATGCTCTACAATTATTGTCCGCTCACTAACTTAAGCACACATTAAGGTGCATGTGTTATACTTTACTGTCCACTACAAAATCCTAGCTATGCAAGTTAAGGCTCTGAAACATTTTTTGAACAGAGTAATCAGTTCAACGTTTCTCATCCCCAAGTAAAACACAGCTGATGCAAACAGATACTGGGCACTAAAAGAGAGCAAGTCCAGCTAAAACAACTGTCATCTCTATCTTAGCATATTCCATCTTATGCAAAGGTACATGTCAGTCTCCATGTAATTAAGTATTTACTGGTGGCTTGACAAGGCATGTGCCTGAATCACATCAAGAAACCATCTCACCTGGTCATCAATATATTCACAAATCCTTTATCTACATGAAGCTTGGGTGAAATGTTATCTTTAATCCACTTATAGATGGCTTGTGGGGATGGATCTGATTTTATTTGCTTTAGCAGTTCCTTCTCCAGTTTCAGAAGTGGGAATAAGAAGCTAAGCCCTTTCCCTTCTAAGATCTCCAGCATGCGGTCCTTGTTCTGATCAATTTCTGAAAAGCAAGGAAGACAACGCTTAACAGCTGGTACTCATTGATACCTATGAGAAGTACCCTCACTAAGGATCGTGACAATTGACCACAATGAAATAACTGTATTAACTGGTACAAAACACACAAAAACCATCTCATGTACTAATATGAAATATCTGAACAGTGATGCGATGACTCTTACCTGGTAACATTTTCTGCATATTCACTTTGCTTTGTTGGAACAATTCTGTTAGCCATTCACGATCTTGCAACTTAGCTAACTGCTGAAGGCAAAGCAGGAACAGAGGGAAATGGGTGCCACTTTCCAGTGGTTGAGCCAGTTCGGAAATGCTCACCAGTTCTGAAATAATGGCACGGGCTGCAAACTGTGCTAAGTAGGATTTCACCAATGGGATGTCCACCTCCAATTTGGGGCACTGGTCCAATACATTCAGGAATGCCTACAAAACAGTAACGAGATGAGACACTGACATTTTGTTCTTGCATACAGTAGTACAGTCACTCAATACAAGCCTTCTTTATCTCCTACTGAATCATTTGCCTAGAGCTTTCCTGCTTCCAAAAAATTCCAAACCTACACTCCTTCCCTCATCACTTACTACGTTCTCTCACAAGTGTTTATGTTACTTCTACCTCCTCACACGAACAAGACAAAATAAAATCGTCTAGCTTGGATACAGATAGCAATCACAAACAGCCAAGTACAAGGACTATCAGACTACAGTACCTGCATGAAGTTGTCACTTGTGGCTATTCCCTCCTGTTTGAGTAAGCTGATCAAAGTACTTGCTTTCTCTTTGTCTTCATCTGATCGATCGAGGGACTGACTGATTACTTTGCTCAACATCTCAGGAATGAAGTGTTTTGGAGCTCTCATTTCTCTCACAGCATTGACAGCATCATTAGCATTGCCATTATTCAGATAATCAGTCACAACAGCTTCCTAGAGGAAGAGACTGGATGGTTAAACAAACATTTCTAAAAGTACTTCTAAAGAAGCACCACAATATAATTAACGTACAGTTTGTTTAAGTAGCTCTTCTTTAGAAGGAGGTGGCTTCTTGGTGGTCTTTGCAGGCTTTTCTTGTATAAGTGGTGGATTTGTTTTAAGACCAAGTTGAGGAGGCTGAAAGACAGTACCAGAAGTTAACATCTTTGAAGTACATCTACAGTGTTGTGTCAAGAAACTTTTATCAACTTCCAGTATTTACTAAGCAGGTTAAAGTCAAATTATAAAAATACAGACATGCTTTATATTCTGCTATGTGCTACAAAAAAACACCCTTTTCCCTCTCTTATTAGAAATGAGCTGAAGTTCCACATGCAAGAATTCAGTATAGTCAAAGAAAACTTGGTCAGGAGCACACAGTAACTTTGATATTTACCTGTCCCAAAGGTGGCGTCTGAGTGCGTGGTGGTTGAGCACTGGGAGGAATCATAGTTATCTGGGGCTGAAGCTTTGGCACTTGGTTTTTATTCATTAGAAAAGCCTGAGCAGGTCTCAGGCTTATCTGTAAATAATCAGAAAAACCTCAAACTGTTTCAAGTACTTTGACCAAGAATTACACAGAAATGGACTTGCATCAACCCATCCCACATAAACTTATATTTTCAGTTTCTACAGTGTAAACAGTCAGATTAAGTCACGCTAGTATTGCAACGCCCCCCAAAAGCATGACTCAGTAAATCACAGCTTGCTGCAAGTTACTGGTTTTTAGTAACATCTGTACCAAGATCTGGAATTGCTCCTTTCAGATGCAGTATGTTAAGAGACCTAAGAAGATACTTAGCATGTTTGCAGACAGGTTTTTACAACTATGATGAAACTTCACTAATTGCTCAGAAATAAAGATACTTTTTTTTTTTCCCCTCTAAATAATAATGCAGTTTACTTTGTGCTTGACACTTTGCCTATCGTCTAGTTCAGAAAAAAAAATAATTGCCTGGTCCAGCACTTCAGGGCTTCTAGATTTTTTGAGTGTTAGGATCTTCTAGAGTTTCCATTAAAGTGTGCTGTTATCAATATGATGCATGGGAACTGATGTCAGAGTAGTGCTCTTGGGGAGGTGTGGGAAGGGAAGGAAGGAACATCACAAGAAATTGCCCTCATATCTCAGTCTTGCTCACAGGACGCTGGATACCCTAGGGAAAGTGAGGAATAAGGTGAAAGAGGAAGGGGCAAAGTAGGAGGAGGAAGAGAAGTAGGAAGAGATCCAGCATAAGTCCTCGTAATAACGCGTCTTGCTATAATCACTGGGCAATATTGAGTATAGGCTTTAAGTAATGTAGGCATGTAATATACCTCATCTGCATTAAGCTGTCCTTTCTTAGAAAACCGAGGTGGCATATCCTTCGACTGTCCTTGTTGCTGGGATAAGAGTCCCTGATTCTGGTTATGGTAGAGCTGGCTTTGCCCCTATTTCAGAAAGGGAGATATAGAGAAAGAAGTGCAGATGATGGAGTGGCGTACATCATATGGTAAGTAGTACCAGAGGGACCAGAGGAACAAAGATTCTATTTGTCAGGAAGGGAAAAAGAAGGAGCAGGGGTGGTGGGAGAGCAGCACCTATCCCTAAAAAAAAAAAACAGGGCTATCTTTTAAATAAAAAAATGCACCATTCTGACCCACCAAAGCCACATGCACCTTTCCTTGCATTAAAAAAAAAGAAAAAAACAACAACCAAGTGTATTCCTTATCTTTTCCATCATTTTAAGAAACTGTTTAGGAAGTTTTTTGCCAATTGAGCATGAGCTCTAATCAGAATCAAACCTGAGAAAGCCTTCCAACACAAATTTACTATAATCCATAACATATGCATCTGTAGAAGAGCTTCTTAACATGCTCAAGCTATTTTTTCCTTACCTGACTTTTCAGAAAAGATTTGCCTAGTTCTCCAAACTGGGGTTGAGCAGAAGGCATGAGGTGACCCCCATGGCCATTGAAAAGTTGGTTTGAACGATGGCGTCCCATAGTGGGTGAAAATCTATCCTGAATAACTCCTGGACCAGTACCAATTCCACTACCTGTATTATTAGAAAACAAGGCAATATATTATCTTGTTGTATTCAACACAGCACAGCTGCAATCATCACATCAGCCTCACTGTTACAGCATACCTGGCATTTGTCCAAACATATCAGCAAGCCCTCCGAGTGGGTCCCTGTCAAGTTTCATCCTGGGTGGCATAAAGGGTCCCTCCAGAAAGAAGTCGCTTCTCATCACTTGAGACATAGGAGCAGGAATAAAAACTCCTAGATCCTTTAAAAGAGGAATTACCATTCTGGTTACTTTATAATAATAGTCCTTGACATAATCAAGTTTTTAGGCCTAAACTAGAAGTCTACATGCTTTCAATCTTCATCAACACCTTACTGTTACACTACCAGATAAATCTGTACATACAGAAGATGAGTTCTGTGACGTAAACAAAACCTTGTAATGATTCCCTTCAGCATTTAATCAGAAGCTAAGCACAAGACTTAATATCAAATACTTACTTTTACCGCATCTTGACGGATTTGATTGATAGTCTTTGGTCCATTGTCAAGAAAAGCTTTGCGAGGAACCCAGTTGTGTTCTCTCAACTCCACAGTATCCTTGGAACATAAATAATTAAGGAAGGAGTGAAGTCAACTTTGTGGGGGGGGGAAAAAAAAAACAGCAGTAGGCTATTTTAATACCGTACCTGCAGCAGGAAACGAATCCTTGCTGGCAATTCCTTACTTGACATCAAGGAGCGCATACGGGCAAAGTACTGATCCATTAAGGACTGAGAGAACAAAAGTGATGTTACAAATCAGTATTAACACGTGTTTAAGAAGCATTTAGAAAAATAACATTCTCACTTATATGACTACGTAGTAATGACCATGCCTTCTGGGAAAGACCTTTAAAGCCACCTGAAAGATTGCCTCCTTCCACTATCAAGAGCTTTTATGTATGAGCAATAGTCGGCACTCTTGCTCCAGGAAATATCAGACTTTCAGTTTTGTTCTTTTGAGTAGAAGCACAGAATGCTGAAGTTTCAGAGTTTTAATCATGGATTTTAAGCTACTTTTAAAGATTGCAGCAGATGCACATACCTTGGCTTTTGCATGGTCTAATCTAGGTCCCACTGTCCTCATTATCTGACAGAGGCACTCCAAATCCTCCCCCATATCTTTGAGTTGGACTCTCTTCTTCTTTTCCAAAAGCTGAAATATTAGAAGCAAAATAGTTCTTTCAGCATAATACAGATAATTTCTAACAGTGTACAGCAGGATATGCAGAAATGTATCACATTATTCATCTTAAGAACTGCTAACTGAAGCACTTATTACTCATTTAAGCTCTTACTATGCATGTACTTTGAACTATCTACGGTAGTTTTGTCTAGGCCAGACGACATCTTTGAGACAATTCCCACAGCTTTAAACAAAACCAATTTTCCTTTTTAATCAGACCACACAACTATTTCTACTTGACAGGAAACATTTTTACAGTCAAAGATTGCTAAAACACCATTAAATTTTTTTTCAGTTTGAAATACTCATTCATTCTTAGCCCACACCTAATCCATATACTCACTGTTTTGATGCACTTATGAAGGATAGATTCATGAATAAGGTCAAGCTTGCCAAGTTCTCCAATGAATTTGATGTTCCCCAGCATCTTGATCTTGGCAATGGCTCTCTGTTCCTCCTCCTCAGGGAGGAGGGGACCATCATGCTTATCATAGACTGGAAAACAAAAAATCCTGTTAGCACGACTGTTGGAATAGAAAAGTAGTAAATTCTGTTATTAAATTGGTTTCAAAACTTACTATCAACATTTCTGGTTCTGTTTTCAAATTCATCTTGAAGTTTAGATATTAGGAGGCGTCTGAATGTCTACAAAAAGAAGAAAGGAAGTTGTTACAACTTCAACACACAACTACCAAAATTCACCATTCTACTGTGACAGAAATACTCACTGTGCTTTGCTTCTGTCCTGGATGACTCTCTGCAGATGGGCCATCAAAGTTGGGTGCATCTTCTGCCAGTCGCAGACATAGTTGAGCATACAGTGAGCTATACTTGGGCTCTTCAAGGGCTTTGTCTACGATCTAAATCAAATTATTTTCAGTAAGATAGCTTGTGGTAGGATGCATAGGTATTAAGAAATGCAAGACACTCAGTACAATACTACCATCCTACACGATTTAGAACAAGTATTCCTTGCCACTATATTAAATAAAATCCATTATTACTGTTTAACACATGATGCTTAATACTGATGTAAAACTGAGATATTATGCTACTGAAAAAACTTCCATAATTCTAAACTAATGAGAAGGACAAATCTGAATTTCTTCATCAGAACGCTAAAGCCCATCTCAGATTTAAGAACCATTTGTTGGTTGCATCTAGTATATCAAAGACTACCTGTGGTAGTTCTTCCCAGACAGTAAGGCTTGTTGAGCAGTGGAATGCAAAGTAGTAGGTGTTGGGAGGTGGGGGACAGAATGAACAGTGGTAACTAATGTTTCAACTTAATATTATAGTGTTAATATATATGTTATAGTCTATTCTTTCTCCAGCACATCTCTTTCATACAAAAAGGGATAACAGTCCTTTACACCAGAGCTAATAATAAACACTAGATAAACCATGTTATTTCTCTCATCATTAACAATCAACCTCTTTATTCTCCTGATGCAAGGAAGCAGTAGCTTAAAAACAAACAAGAAATTTACCTCCCCCCCTCCTGCCGCACCCCACAAGAAAACAACCCACAAACCACCACCAGCTTACCAGCAGTATGACCCCTTTAAGGATGAGCTTAGACTCTACACCCACATTGAGGAGCTCAAGGCATAGCTTGTCGAACTTTTCAGGAGTAAGCTTATTTAGTATGCTAAAGAGGAACAAACGAAACAAGAAATTCAGATTACAAGTCTTGTAAGCTTGCTATGAGTAATTTTAGATTTAAATTTACCTTTACTATTTAGTCTTTAAAACAGTAAAGTAAAAATCCAATTTTCAAGTCAAATCAGATTTTTATTTATTTTGTGACTTTTAGAATAAAAAGCCTGATTATCAATATTAACTCTTTCAGAAAATTTGCTTCTTAGCAAGTTTGCTTCTTTGCAGCAGCAAACACTTGCTGCATGCCTCATTTGTTTCTGCTTCCTTCGTTCTAAAGAAACCTCCTCACCCCGCTAAAGAACAAAAAAGTATGCATGTCTTCTTCCTCTCCAGGCTCATTTAATGAAAGACACTGCTAAACATAACAACATGGAAAAACACCTTCTGGAAAACTTACCCTCTTACTTTCCTGAAGATTGCATCATGTCGTTCTTTGTCGTTTGCGGAGTCGTCATCTCGTCTAGTGCTTCGTGAAGGAATCCATTTCTGAGCGTTTTGCCCTGGGGTTTTCCCCAGGAACTCGCTGTAGGATTTTGAAAAACAATTTCAAGAACCATCTTTCCAGCATTATTTTACACAAACTATTACTATGCTTAGCTCTGCTGGAAGCATATCCTTATCCTACCAGCATGACAGTACCTGCAAATAGTCATTTAACAATTTTAAAATCAAATAAGACCACTCCCAACACTAACAGCCTTCCTCTAAACCTTTTACATGAAACGCACAGAAGTGCTCTGTCCTCCTCACATGACATGAGGCACAATTCTAATAGGTTATATACACTCCAGCCACAGATGAAGGACATTAACACATCACAAACTCTACAACGCTTCCTGTACAAATTTGAAGGTAGACTACTTCCAACTCTATTCACCATCACGTATCCCATAGCTTTGAAGTAAGATGCTAGTTCAAAGAATACGATGACTTACCTGTTGCTGGCAGTCTTGGGATAGTGCTGAGGTGCACCCCTACCACCTCCTCCGCCTGAAGAAGCACTGTTAAAACACAAATCATGTCGTTTGCCTAAATTCAATACACCATCACTTTTCAATGACACTTCTGAAGTATCATTCTTCAGTATTACTGAAGTACTTTGGGAAACTAGTAACGTGGGAACTAGAATTACTAGTAACTTGGGAAAACATATTTAATTCCCCCTCAAAGGACTGCTACATTGCCAAACGTTCAGTCAACCAAACCAGCACCAGTACCTGAAACGAGAAGCACCCCCTTCTGCAATCGCACTCTCCACTTTGGCGGCTTGACAACGAAGAATCTTCAAAAGAATAAAATTAAATTGACGGGGTGGGGAAAAACAAAACCTAGAAAGACAAATCGAGTGTTCATATTATAGGTGTTTTTTACTAGCAACCGTTGTATCTCACAACACCTCCCACCCCAGGAAGCCTAGTCCCATCACCGAAGCCACACTTCCAGCAGCACAGTGATATGAATCATAGACTGTGAGAAAGCAAATAAGGGCTCCAAGATCACCCAATGCGTGCTCAGTATAGCAAAAAGGCCGTCAACTGCGTCTAAATCCACACAGCCAACAAAGCTACCGAACAGGAAAAAAATCGCTGCTCTCTACCTCAAATCTAATCTGACAGACAAGCGGGAAAATATTCCCTAACGGAGAGATGATGGACTTAGGAATCAAAGCAAGAGCGCCTAAAAAATACCGCAGTGCACCGCAGATCGGGTGAGGCAGCGCAGTACGAGGCCGCGCACCCGTCCCCGCACGGCCCGCACCGCCATCCCGGCCCGGCGGGCGGAGCGCGGGCCGCCAACATGGCCGCCGCCGAACAAAAGGGCTGCGGGGGCGGCGCGGTGCGAGGGCGCCCCCCAGCGGAGGCAGGCGCTGCCCTGCCACATGGAGCCGCGCTCCGGCCGCGCCGCCCTTCCCCCACCGCGCCGGGCGCCGCCCGCTTCCAGGCTGAGGCGCCGCCAGGGCCCGGCCGGCTCTTTGTTCTCCGGCAGGGACGGGAAAACGGAGAGCGGCCGGCTCCTCCCGCACGGCTGCCCCCGGCCCGGCCCGGCCCAGCAACAGCTCCTCGTAGCCAGCTCACCCTCCCACGAGAAGCGGAGAAAAAAAATTAAAGGGGAAACAAAACAAAACAAAAAAAAAGCAGTAATAGCAAAGAAATCCACACGGAAGCCGCAAATCTGCCTCCGCGCTCCCTCCTCCAGCCCCAGGAGGACCGACAGCTCTCCGCCCCACCCCAGCGCCGCACATCCGCGGGAGCAGCCCGAGCCCAGCCGGCTCCTCGCCAACGGCCGCCCCAACAGCGCCGAGCTACGAACCGGCGCCGCCCGTCCCGGCCTCCAACACCGATCTCAAAGCGGAGACCCGCTCGGCTTCTCTAACCCCTCCGGCGACGTCCGCCCAGCGCCTCCACCCCTCCGCTCAGCGCCCGCGGTGCGGGCAGCGAGAGCCGCCGCCGGCTCCGGCCGCCATTTTGTGCGCAAGAAAGCGAGAAGAAGCTGACGAGAAAATGGCGGCCGCTCGGCCAGCCGCCATTTTACGCGGCGGCTGCGGCGGCATCCGCTCCCTTCCAGGCCCCAACCGCTCTCCCGCCACACCCCAATCGCTCACCTTCCCTAAGGCCTTGTCCGCTTCCCCGGGTCCCGGCGGCTACCAAGGGCAGGGGAAGAGGCAAGAGAAGGGGAGGGAGGGGAAGGGAGCCGGGGACCGGGGCTGGGGAGGGGAAGGGGGGAGCGCGCGGGGCAGGGCGAGTCTCCGAGTCACCACTGCAGAAGCAGCAACCGCCCGACACTGCCCTCCGCCACCTCCATAGAGAGCCGACTCGCCGCCGCGTCTAGCGCGCACCGAGGCAGCCCCACTAACTTTATTACCTTCACGCAACCTACCCCACCTCCCGCCAGCCGCCTCCAATCGCCGCGAAGGTCTCCGCCTGCCTGGCCAATCAGAATGCAGGAAGGGGGAGGGCTTAACGTCCAAGTGGGAGGAGGAGGGACGAAGTTTGGTTGAACTGTGCCATCGCCGCAGTGCAGCACCCGTATTCGCAAAAGCAGTTACGCCGCAGGAGTGGCGGTAGTGCCTTAGAGAGAAGGAAAATATGCGCAAGTAGCGTACCGGCTTAATGGCGGCAGTTTGGCTGCCTGTCTTCTCTGCTGTTTGTTCCTGTGCTGCACCCATCACTGAAATCCCAGTTCTAGAGCGTGAGTTCTGTCACAGTCATAGAAGGGGTAGTTTTATACAGGTGTACGTAAGCTTTTTTGCTTTTCACAACTGTACGTTTCCCTTCACGCAAACCGCATTTCGGATTCATGTGAGGCTGTGGTAAAACATCAGCAGACGGCTGTGGCCTGAGCTTGCAATCAGATCCAAGGAGCAGACCTGCTATTTGAGCTCCAAAAGCCCGTCTGTGCAGATCTAATTTAGCTTTCTGGGTTTGGAAGCTGTCTGCATGTCTGTGCCTGCTTTTAGCTTTTAACTGACCTACGCATTGCAAGGCATCCTGCAGGCAGCCCTTGAACGACCAGCAGTCTCACACGTAACAACCATTTTTACATATGTACTGTACTGAGCACATAGTTGGTGGGGCTTTCTTGCTCCTTCCCGGTTAAACAAAACAAAGATGGCTCGGGCTTTTAGCCGTAGGTGGAAGCTGGGCTCATGGGAGACTTGCAAAGGCTTACCAGGATGAGGTTAGGCTGTAACCATCATAGCTACATTGTTGCTGAGGTAATAGGTGCCTGCTAGCGGAGATTCAAATTTCTTAAGTGGGAAAGGGCAGAAAGCAAGGGCTGCAGAAGCTATACAACAAATCTCTGCAAACATCCCGGCATACACCTTCCGCTTTCGGTTGGTGTGACTCATGATTTAGATGACTGAGTGAAAGGGATACGTATAATAACACGTGAACCACACAGACTGCATGTCCAAACATATGGTATTTCAGAACTTCCAGTTTCCCAGAGCCAGCCTCATTCCTACTGCTTTCAACACAAAGTGCCATTATGTCCCAAGACATATAAGGCCTAAAGGGTGCTGTCATGCAGGACTTCTCATCTTATCTAGGATGAAATTTGTTCAAGATAGGGAAACCTATCTCATGCACATATACATTAAGAACAGTTTACTTATCAGATTATCTTAGCAGAATCTTGACTAAGCTATCTGAAACTAACTTTTCCGTACATAGCAGTTGTATAAGGTTGAAAATAACAGTGAGGGGTACTTTCCATACTAGAACTTTTATATCATTACATTTTTCTACATTTAACAGTAGTCAGATGACTGCAAAAACTTGCACCTTGCATGTGAATCCTCAAGAACAGAACTGTGCAGAACCCAATTGAAACAAATAGAATTCCATTTGAATTCTATATACACAGCAAGGCCCGATGTTATTCAAATAAATATGTCTCAAAATAAAAAGTAGAATAAAAATTATTGTAAATCTTAAAGACCAAAGTGAAAAGATTAAGTTTTGCATTGGCTGACAGAATATTCTTATGCAGTGTTTGTGGCATAAGTATTCCCAATACTGCATTAGGGGGAACCCCACAACTAAAACTCATGGAGAATTTCTCTCTTAAAAAAAGTAAAATAAAAAATTGGAACAGAAATCCACCAAAGCAATAAGACAAAGTTTGTCGCATGCATATTGACAGACTAAAACATTGCCCCTCTAAGGCATCACCTTCTTGTTTGAAGTATACTATAAAATATTTATTAGCACAATAACTGAAAAAAGCAGCCATGTGCTCAGTAAGGATAGCAGCAAATAATCATTGTTTTCATAAAACTGATTTTTATTTTTTTTTGGCCTCATTCCTGTATTATATTTAGATCAGCAGAATATGTGCTATCCCGTAGGTCATACTGGTTTTGGTGGGTTGGAACACAAGAAGTTTCTGTGCTTGGCTGCTCACAGTTTTCCCTCACATCTGTGTGCCAGCCTCATCGACCAGCTGCACTAGCACAATTGATGAAAGCAATCAACTGTGGTACAGAGGAGAAAAAGCGCTTAGGAAACCCCTTCTGTTTAATACATCTATCCTGCTTCTTACATTCCATAAACTGTTGTGGTAGACACAACATTATTCTTGTCAGAGAATGTAACAGCCTAATTGCTCATACGGGAATTCAGTAAGAAATTTAACTTTCTTTTTTCTTCGATTTATCATTTTGACTCTAAAAAAATCAGTAAATGGAATTTTGAAGTTGTCAAATATCACCTTTCACCCATCTGTCACTTCAGCGCATTGCCATTTTTTTTTTCCTCTATATTTTTCCCACTTTCTCGCTACCGTTTTTCTCCAGCCCTTATCCTGAACATCAGCACTGCTTTAATTCAAAGGAACTGCTTTACAGTGAGTTACAGTGGTGTTTCTGGGTTGGTCCCTGCCAGTCTGAACTTGCAGAATAACTGCCACTAGTTTTGTGGGAGAGAGGGCTGGTCTTTAGATGTGTGTCATCTCACAGTGATGTGAAGAACCTCCTGTGCTGCAGACCCTGTGGTGCAGGAACAATTTGCTGCCACAGATACAGCATCTGCCTGAGAGGAAGAGGAATGTCCCTTGCTGTGCATATGGCATAGCTCAGAACAGGGAATGCCTGCTTCTTGTCTACCAAAACAACCCACACAATGTGGGAAAGCCGTGTGGCAGTTCTGGGAGTTTTTCCTTACTACTGCAAAGCTGGAATTGCCGTGACTTATCCTATGCAGTAGGAGCACTGTTGGGTGGAGATTCCAGACGAAGCCCTGATGACAGGGTGCACCTCATCACTATATTAATGCTGCTGTACTGGTTGTGGATCTGGCTAGGTTGGGTTTTGTGCAGACTGCCCCATTAAGTAGTGCAGACATGTACATGATATTAACCAAATAGAGAATTACTTAAGAATAATTCACCAAAACAACATACTAGTTTACTTCATTCTAATGTCACCAACTTAATCACCTCCTGTCTTAGTTTCTAAACAGCTTTTCTATCTGTGACTCTTGTTGTTTCCAAAGCCAGGTACAGCTCCTGACCCATAGCTGAAGCATCTGGCAACAACATTTAAATCAATTTTCCAGTGATGGAAGTTTGCCTCAAACATGACAGAACTGTAGAAAGGAGAGCTGGGGAAACAAACAACAAATCTAGAAAACATGTCTGTATTTTTCTTTTAAACAACTTTATTTTTCCATTTCTGCTGAAGAGAAATGTTCTCAATAGCAAACAAATTTATATTGCATAGATGCAGTATTACAAGAAGTGCTTGCCTTGTGTTTTGGACAAATGCTTAAATATATTGATTAAGTGCATACTTCATACAGTGTGGATGGTATGAAAGCATTTCAGAAAGCTTAGTGGTTGTTCTCTTTTATTTAAAGAGTATTTATTGGTATCAGACTTAGCAGCAGCAGCAGAGGTGACCTTTAAAGAGGCTGATGCTGACTGAGGCAAGAGCTTTCTAACCCCTCTAAGCAGTGGAGGACTTCTAACTACCTGGAATGCCTGTTCTCTGTTTCCCCTTTGAAAAATCCTTTGTAGTTACTTTATGAAATGCTGGTTCCTTATACCTCAGTTCAGCACCCAGGATTTCCTGCTGCTCAGAACCAGTCCTTCAGATTTTTAATCAGATATATTTTAAACGTTTCTACACATCCTCTTCTTTAGGCCCTGAAGATTCACAACATTTATAACAATTCAACTGATAGTTGCAGTTTTACAGGATCCTTATGATGGTTATTTATCAGAAACTTGTGAAGATATTTGAGGTGTCACTTTTATAGTTAGCCAGTGAAACTGCCTAGAATGCTCAGATATCTGAGGCAGTGCTATTTCATCAGAGAACATTTACTCAGGCAACTAAGGAAAAGGAGGCGATGCCCCTAACAATCTAGCTTGCTTTGCTTTCACAGTTCTATTTAGAAGAGTGAGTATTCTCAGCCAGTATAACTGTATTAATATATGCAGTCATCATAATTTTCATACATATTCCAGAATTGTTTGGAAAATATCCCACAAACAACGACCATCTTCTCACTGTGTCTAGTTCAATGACTCATGTAAACTGCAGATGTTTTACATTCTCTAGCCTTTTAAAATGACAGATTTGTTCATATTCTTTAGGATCAGCTGACCAAGTGTGCCAAACAGCACTGTGCAATGTTCTGCATCTGATATTGGCTAGCACCACATGTACAGTAAGGTAAGACAGCTTTAAAATGTACTGTTTTTATTATTTGCAAAGAAAAGAAAGCTTCTCTATCTCCTAGCCCTGCAATCAATGTTTAAATTACCTAGAAGCATGTTTAACTGTTGTAAATTTTAGAGTTATTAGTATTCTTATGTCTAGGTAATGTTAATTTCTAACTTTGACACCTTTTAGTTACCTCTAATATGATATCTCAGTGAATTCTGTGATTTAATTGTGCAGGGTTTAAGAAGCAATAATCCTTGTATCAGTTCTAAAATGTATTGGCTTGATCACTTTGTAGTATTCAGCAGTAATAGTAGGTGCTCCATTAGGTGCTGTAATAGTCAGCACCTAATGGAGCTGAATACTAATTTCTCTTCCAACTAACAGAGTTGGAAGAGCATCAGAGTGTCCCACTGCATTGTGTTACTCTTTTATTTATAGAAACATACTGCTGATGAAAACACTAGCATGGATAGGAAAACACTGATTATTCTTAAAATGCAGCATTTGGTATTATCAAAATAAGTTTGTATTTCCTTTTTCATTGCAGAAAATGCTGTGTCATGTTTTGTGTGGGGGTGTGTGGGTAGAAACCCCATAGGATATGTATATATTTTTAGTTGCTTGTAGAGTAGGGCTTTTTTGGTTACAGTTAGCTAATCCTTGCTGTTCTCCTTGAAGTTCTACTGGCAGAAGTGTGGCACGTCTTGCTGCAGCTTAAGGTACTACTCACATATAAGGGCAATTGTTAAATGACTGATGTTAATATAATGTATATTAATGACAAATAATAATATTAATAGTCTGGTAGGTTTTCTAAAAGGCCAGATCTTCTTTTATTTGGGGGTCAAAATCCTCCTGAGTTAAAAAAGAAGAGAAGAAAAAGCTACTTTGCATTTTTTGTCACCAAGAGGAAGAAAAATAGTACAGTGAAATCAGTCACAAATATTTGCAAATCCAATTTAACCATTTAGAAGTCAGCAAAATCTTCTCTT